TTTGCTTTTACATGTATACATACCTTGGAATTTATGAGAGCAAGTGCTTTAAAAATGGTTGAATTTCCAAAGTAAATATAAGCAAATATCTTACCATAACTGCAATGACGTCATTTTTCGTTAAACAAGCAAACTTCCGCAATTCAACTTCTAAGACAGCCCTGAAACAAATTCTTTCCTAACATTACAAATAGAAAAAGAATGCTGAATGACTCTAATAGTACATACTCAAGGTGAATAAATAGAAATACAAACAACCTTGGATTACTGATGTTCAGAAATTCTAACGACTGCGGCTTCAGTTTCGCGTAAGTAGCTGAAGGCAAAGTCACAGAATCAACACGAACTTCGGCACCTTCGTCAATCCGAAGTTGTTTCATCATCTAAAATTACTAGATTCAAATCAGGGTTCAGGGTTAATCAATTGTAGAATCAATACTAACGAATAGGTCATTTTCATGTTGGCTCACTGAAAGACTGTAAAGCTCACAAAAATGCATAAGCTAATAGGAAAAATAATAAACAGAAAATAAATAAAGCACGTGTGGTAAAGTGCATTCTTTAAAAATTTCCTATCCACCAATATGAACCCCATAAATCATAGATACTATACGTTAGCTATCAAACAAATAGCATATTCCAAACTTTTTCCGCAGATGGCCACACTTAACAACGTTGCGAGAAGCCAAGGGAGAAAGCCCAGTTTATGGGATAGAGCGATGAAGAAAAACGTAATGGCAAGGGGAAACCATCAAAGCTAGCTCGCCCTTCTGTTGAACTTTTTACATTTGCTCATGTTACTTTAGTTCAAAATCGCAGAATCGCACCATTCCTGATTTAGTAAAAACATGAAGTTGTGTGGTTTAGAAAGATTCGGTAATCAGTTTATATGAAAGAAAAGAACGGACATTAACTGATTATGGAAAGCAAACAACTCAGAGCAAGACCATATCTTAGAAAAAAAAAATCGCTCTGCTATAAGTATACACGAAAGTAGTAGCCGATTATGATAGTAAAGAACTTGACAACTCACATAAAAATTCAGAAAGATGACAGACTAACCCATTGCGGAAGATAGCACTTCCCCTCAGGAGCAGAGAA